GTAGAAATTAGAAAGTTTAAAAGTTATTTAGAGGTTGTTTGGTTAGCTAAAATTACTGAAGTTGATACAAAAATTCCAACAAGAAAATGCCAACAGGAAAGCAATTGTCCAGTTCTATAGGCAGAAACTGCAGTCCCCATGTACAAGTGCCATATAAGTCAATGAAAACAGTCACCTGAGTATAGACTGCATTATGTATTTGCCCAGATTACTCTTTTTATTATTGGTAAATTACATATACGGTGATTTACTCTTATTTATAATCAGATGAGATGTTTGGAATAGCTGTAATTTAAGTTATTCACTTAAACAGAGCCATCCCTAGCGGTGTGTGGGGCCTGGGGCATATCAGCCTGTGCGGGGCTGGGAGGTGGGGGTGGCAACTGCCCACAGAAGCCAGTGGCGGGGCCTTTACGGCACTGTCCATGGGGCCCCCCAAAGCACAGGGCCCAGGCTGGTCACCCCAATTTGAACCCCACTAGGGACAGCTCTGCTTTTAAAGTTAACAAAAAAAAGAGACTAGATTGACTGCTGAAGAAAAGCTGAAAAATACTTTTTTTATAGGAACAAATATGTAATTATCCACATGACACCATAGGCAAATTTCAAACAAGTGATGGAAAACAACATATTGCAGATATAAACATCAGATACCAAACCTAAAGGTTAGATTAACATTTTGTATCTAGCATAGTACTGAGGTACTATAATTATTTCACCTCTGAGGCAGCCATGGGAAAAAACACAGTTTTGAGATTCACACCTCCTACCCTAGTTCCATTTTTCACAGTGGGAGTAAGCTACTGTAGCAATTTATAAAGCAGTATTTGTTTTCTCTATCATGCTGACTTGGTTCATCTAACACATTAATTAAGACTACCAAAAGTCTGTGTTCCACCCCTCTGTTGTCTTCCTCCTACTTGCTTGTGGCTAAGAAAGAAGCAGTGAAAGTAGGAGCACTGCTGGGCCAAATCACCCCTCATTCTCCCTCTTCCATTCCAAACCCTGGGTAGTGTAGGAAGTGTCTCATATTTGTTTACAACTCTGGGTTCTGCCTAAGGACAAGTGACAATTTATCCTGAATTCCCAAGAGGCATATATGTTTATTGTAGTTTCAGAAGAATGTAAAAGCAAAGGTGGAGAAAGCAGAACATCAAAGAATTTTGAACCATAGTTCTAGATTTTAACTAAGATCATCATATGGCCTACGTTTTCCTCAATTTACAAGATTTCTTTCTTGAGCTTTATTACAATTAGTAGAAATTATTCTGAATCTTTCAAGTGGACTATTTAACTCTACAAAGTTACTTCCATGACTTGCTAATAGGTGACTGGATCAGTTAAATAAAACAGCTATCAGCCTGCATGCTGTAATTTTAATATTCAGCATAAAATAATACACCCAAAGGATAAAGTCCATGATAAACAAGGTTTCCCCCTCAACAAGATATTAATTCAAAATGAAAACATTTACTTTATTTACTTGAATCTAAGACAAGGATTTTTCCTCCAATCATCATGGGTAAAAAAAGCCTTATCTTAGACTTGAGTACCAGCTAGGGGCAGGTAGCAACTCAGCTCCAGCTTCAGCCTGGGCCTTGGGACCAAAGCCAGAGCTGAGCCGTTGCCTGCCCCAGGTTGAGGTGGTTCATACAGTGGGAGAACAGGTGCATTGTGGGGGGAGTGTAGAGGAGACCCACACCAGGGGAGTGGTGCACAGGGAGACCTGCAGTTGGGGCGGAGAGTGCAAAAGAGAAACCCCCGCCATCACTTATCTTGGGCTCTGGCTCTAGCCCCAACCCAGCAAGGCCTGGAGCTGCTGCCACTCTTTTTGTCTAGACAGGCCAGTATTGGGGCCACTGCTGCTGTCTCCACCAGAGCCAGACTGGCCCCAAATCTAAGTACTGGGGAAGACCAGGGGTAGGCCACGGAGGAGGTGGCAGGGAGACAGGCACAGGCATGGAGGGGGCCAGGAGGCAAGTGGCAGGGGAGGAAGGCTCTAGTGGGAGCAAGTAGCAGGGGAGGACAGGCAGCAGGGTGGCAGACACAGGCATGGGGGCAGGGCAGGCAGCAGGGGGATAGGCACAGGCATAGAGGACCAGGCAGGGGACAAGGGGTGGGGTCTGCTCCCTTGACCTCCACCACTGCTTTCTCTCCCACAGCTGTGGGAGGGACAAATTTAAGACAACCTTCCAATACTTAGACTTTATACATGGAAAATTAAAACAAATTTATGTATCTTCCATGAACAAAATCTAATTATTGGGCGGGGGGGAGAAATCATCTTAAATTTGAAGGTAAATATGATAGCTTCTAACTGGTAGGTTGGATGGCTAGCTTTGATTTTTAAACTTCTGTATAAAACAGACAGAAAATACAAAGTACAAATCCTGCTTTGAATATTGCTATCACTAGCCTATTAAGTATTTAGATTAAAAATATATTACTATAATATTTGCTACTTTAACTGTAACCAGGAAACCAATACTATAATTGATTTTCATATTCTATATCAGCTGCAAACTCTTTACTATAAAATTGCTCTCCTGTGTACCATTTCTCACGTTTTCTGGAAGGTTGTAATGATACATCATTATATATCTTTACAAACAGGAAAAGCAATATTAAAATTAAAAATGCATTTAATATAATAGCAAAAAGAAAAAGTGGGAGGGCAGTCTCAAGAACAGTCAACAAGCTATTTGATTCCTTAAACCAAGCCCTGAATGCTCACCTCAGTCAGTTATGTCAGGTTGACAAGAATCAAGTTTCTAATTCCCACCCTTCCAGCCCCACACACCAGTCCAACCCCACTGATTTCATTGTGCTTAGTTAGAGAAATTATGGGAGACAAATCAAGCCCCAAGTATTTTATCCCAGATGGCTGTTAAGGCATCAAATTTTCGAGTTACATAGCCTTCCTCAGGGTTAATTCGTAAGACAAAAGAGAACTTGATTTTGCAAGAAGCAGAACACTTAGGCCTTGATCCAGTGAAATTCTTAAGTACAAGTTTAATTGTAAAGGGCAGAAGTTGTCCCACTGACTCATTTCATGTAACCTTCATTACTTAACTTCAATAGGATTACTTGTATCTTTAAAATATGCATGTACTTAAAAGCTTAACTGAACCAAGGCCAAATGCTCAGCATCTTCAATGCAAAAAATAATAACCACTGATGGTATCATTTCACTAACTTCTGAACTTAGTGTGAATTTGCCAAAACTAGAGGTAATGGTATATTATGCCCTGTATATTTTTTGAGAGCAAGATGTTGAGTATGGAAAATGAAGTTATTAAGAGCTTATGTATTTCCACAACTGGCTAGTGTATTTTTTCCTCTTACTAGATAAATCTGGACTTGATGATCTGCTCAGGTCCCTTCCAACCCTACCAACTATGAAACTATGAAAAGAGTGTATTGATTTTGCCTGAGACTGTTCTTTTTTTCTGGTATTACATTAAACTGACCACATTATCTGGTCCCATTAGTATTTACCATTTTCAGTATACAGAACTGATGGAACCAGTAAAGTCTCTAAACAGGGAATTTAGGCAGTAGTTCCCAAACTTCCAGCCCTGCACACCAGTCCAACCGCACATGCTGGCCCAACCCTGCATGCAGGCCCTTGTTATCTGGCCCACGAGGCTCCCCCTGAGTCCAGAAATTTGGCAGCAGGGGAACAGCAATTAAAGTTGCCACTGCTCTTCTATTGCCAAATTTCTGGACCGACCCATGGGGTGCGTCTACACATGCATATTAATATGATGCAATAAATTCCAGTGCTGTTTGAATGTGTAACTGGGAGTGCAGGATGTTGAGCTGGCTTGGAGCAGTCCCGGCTGGCAGAGGGTCCAGGGGGTCAGCCTGCCAAAGCAGGGCTGTTCTCCCAGGCTCAAAGTGCTCTGGAGGGGCTGGTTGAGTTACAAGGGTGCTTCAGTGTGGGGCTAGCCAGCAGTCAGCCCCCACACTGAAGCACCCTTATGCCCCAGCCAGCTGGGGCAGTGTCCGCACACATGCTGCTGCAGCGTAAATTAGTTTACTCCAGCCTAATAGGGGTGCATGTTTAGACACGCAATATTTACTACACAGCTAATTAGTCTTGTGCAGTAAACATCTTGTGTAGACGTGCCTATGGAGAGACCTGTGGACTGGAAGACACAGCTCTGTGGGCCAGAGGTTAAGCGCTACTGAATTAAGTTAATCATCTATGCCTAAGCTTTGTAATATAGCAAAGAAAGATACTATGAGAGCTGTCATTATGTTAAAATCATATGAAAAACAATAGTATTTCACTATCTCGGGGCAGGCAAAATACGGCCTGCAGGCTGAATCCAGCCCACCAGGCCGTTCTATCTGGCTCATGGGGCCCCTAAAATATTTAGAAAATATTTATCTGCCCCAGCAGCTTGTCAAAGCTGACAAGAGCCAGGGGCCATAGGACCTGGGAGGAGCCTCAGCAGGACTGAACAGTTCAGCCCGCCCACCCCCAGCCATTTCACTTTCTTCCTACCCCCACCCTGCTCCAGCACCGGATGGCTGCTGGCTCCATCGCCAGACCAAGGAGCACAGGCTATGCCAATACACATGTGTGTGTGGGGGGGGGGGGCAGGCAGGGACAGTACATGTGTGTATGAAAGGAGTACTTCCTGGGGCAAGGGGAAGGACTTTGGGTGACAAAGGTCAGTGGTTAGGGGGCAGGACTTCCAGTCACAAGATGGTAACAGGGGCATCTGTCAAGGGGTGGGGCTACCAATGCAGCCCTCGACAGCTTGCCAAAACTTGGTAAGCAGCCCCTCACCCAAAATAATTGCCCACCCCTGCACTACTGTAACATAAACAATTTTAAATACTTTCATACCATATACTGTAAATGCATTAATAACATAGCCTAATTTACAAAATTTAAAATTGCATAGCTGTGCAATTTTATGAACAGCTGCACACATAAAACTCGTGCATGTTTGAAAAATCAGTTTCTAAGAATGGGAAACCCTTACCTCACAAGATCTTTATACAACGCCTTTGTAGTTTCTAAGTATGGATCAAGTACATCTTCAAATTGACAGAGTGTTCCTCCAAGGCAAAGATGTTTAAAAAGACAGAAGAGAAACTCCTCACGTTCTGACTGGCTGAATAAATCAAAATGGTCTGAGTCTTCCAGGAGCAAAACCTTGTATGGAAAAAGAAGTAGTATCAATTCCTGATCTGAAATGAAACATTAAACAATGCAACTATTTTGCTGTATGTTTACATATTTCCATTATTATTTTCATATGGAATATGGGAGATATTTTTCAGTCAGGTAGAAATCTTCTGTTGTGGGATAAATTCCTTATTTGTTTTGCACCTACGGAATAGATTGCAGGCCCCAGCTTTCAGATTTATGCCCATAAAGAACTGATTTTGTCTGAAAATTTTCTTATTCCCTGCAGCATGGACAATTATTGTGATACTGAATCAATGAAGTGATGTTAATGAACTACACAGCTGTATTCTTTGGTGAACCAAACAGGAATTTGTTATGTTGGAGAGCTGCCAATCAGTATTCTTTTTGTCTTTATTTACAGTGTTAAATGACTGATCCAGTTCCTTTATTGACTGCAATGTCAGATTAGGAATTTAAATAAGAGCATGGCTAGAAGTCTAAGCACATAAATGGAAGGCAGGAACTTCTGGCTTCTAACTCCCTTTGCGATTTTGGATGTATCACATAACTTCTGACAAGCTGCAGTGGGATCTGCCAGTAGGGGTGCCTATGGAATACTAATTTTTCTAACTACTCAGATGGTCTAATCAGATATCACATCTACCCAAAGAACCTTGTCTGCCTATGTCCTTAGACCAACATGGCCACAACCAACAATGTTATGGAATACCATTCACTAAAAATGGGAGATTATACAGTTACAGGAATCCATCCTGTTGGGAGAAGGATGAAACAACATTTTGTGTATTGTCTCTCCCCTTCCAAATTACATAAACACCTTTGACAAGAAACACTTTTCATGGAAAATGTTCTCTACTTACAAGTTAACACCCAACAATTTTAATTGCCAGTTTGCAAGCTAAACCTGGAATCTGATGGCTCTTTCCTCTTCCCCTAACTTCAAGACAGACCAGTTTTGCAGGTCAAACTTTATCAGTGCCACTTATGCAAATTCATTGTCTTCAACAGGTCTGGCAAGTGTAAATGGCTGATTGTATTTAAGTGCTTATGTTAATGATGCACTAGGGTGAATAAAATACAGCTCTCAAACTTAGCTGAGCGAGCCCAGAACAAGTAATAGTAAAATAAGCCTCATTTACAAGTCATTAAAATCAGAAGATACACATACACTAAAAAGATCTGCTGATTGTTACAAGGGCACTTTTCTGAATAAGAATGCACTTGAACTGCACTACTGCAAATAATATGGGGAAAATATTTACCTGAGCTAATGTTTACCTATGGATGAAGACTACTAAAAGTACTAAGAGTTAAGTACCATTAAGATATAAGAGTGATAATAAGTGAAGGAAGGAATAAGACAATAATCCAAAAAGAAACGCTGTTAGTTTGGATCATGTACATTTCAAAGTTAAATCCCTGCACTATACCTGCTTCTGAACTTTTTTCCCAAGCTTTATAGCTTTATATTAGGGGTGTACTGATGGGGATTTTTTGGGCTGATACCAATGGCTGATTTTTAACAAGCCATATCGGCGAATACCGATCCAATTTCCGATATGCAGCCTGGCAGCTTGAAGAGTAGCGTCTGACTGGTAAGTTTGTTGTGGTGGAAGGGGTGGGGGGGCAAAAATTGAGGCCCTTCCCGTAAGGGAGGGGGTAGGGCTGGGGCTGCCCAGCCCGAGTGTGGTGGAGTGCAGGACAGAGCTGCAAGTGGCTTGTCTAGGAGGCGTGGGGGGGGGCAGATCCCACTGTTGCATGCACCCCAGGAGGGCATGCGGGTGTGTGGGTGGGCTGCTGCTGTGGACTGGGGCTGGAGCTGTACTGGGCTCTTCCTGGCAGGGGGCTGGGCCAGGTTACACTTGGGGCAGGTGGCAGTGGCACTGAAAAGGAGCTACGGGGGGCAGAAGCTGCAGCCACTCCAGAATTCACTGTAGTCCCCCAACCCTCCCTCTCAACACTGCCGCCGCAGCCCACCCTGAGTGCAGCCTGGCTCAGCCCCCCCAGGAAGAGCCCAGCACAGCAGTCCCAGGTCACAGTTGCAGCCTGCCCTGCCCTGTACACAGATCCAGGGACATATGCTTTCCATGCCCTGCCAGGGGTGCGTGGCAGCAGGAGCCACCCCCCTCCCACACCAGTCAGATGAGCCACGGCTCCATCTTACGTCCCACTTCACTCCAGCTAGGCAGCAGCTGCCCCGGCCCCAGCCCCACTCCCACCCTCACTGCAGGGACCTCAATCTGCTCCCCCCATGAACCTTCCCTCCTCCCACCCCTTCCACCACAACAGATTTACCAGATGGACACTGCTCTCCATGCTGTTGGGCTTGCCTGCAGGCTGCACTACGGCTGCATGCATGCACAGGGCATTTATCAACCACATCAGCCAAAAAAAGCCGATGGCTGATACTGTCAATTCTCCTTATATTGGTGCCGATCCAATATGGAACAGTGTATTGGTTCACCTCTACTTTATATCATTTTCCTTTAATCGTTTTCTCTCTTTTATTGAAATTCAAAATACTTTTAATGATATTTTTCCTGGAATGCCCCAAACATCTATTCCTAATCAAGGAATCCCAATCAATTATATTTTGGAATGGTTTAATTGTTATGTATGTCCACAATCATGTCAGTAGGACATTCTATTGGCACCTGTAATTCTCCCCATATAGACAGAAAGAAAAAGAGGAGGCACTAGCACCATTTTTTCTTGTGAGGGAATGAGGAACTCCTTTCTCCTCCTCCTTTTGTGAGAAAAATCTGCTCTCTTTGCCTCTGTGTACAAAAGGGAAAAAATGAGGCAACTGGTAAAGTAGTTGTTGTTATGACACCACACAGGAGTTCAAACGGCTACAGACTCTTGATTCTGCCTTTAGAAGCATACAGATACCATTGTAAAAAACAATGGATAAGAAGAGTTAGTAGTATCTGAAAAAAGGTATAAAAACTACTCTAAGAATATCTCAAATGCTGTACTGACCTTCCTTAACTCATCTGAGATGGGAATGTCATCATAATATTCATCATAACACTTCACAATATGCCCAGTCTCTCTAACAACTCCTTCAGTGTACAATCGGTCAAAAAATGACATGGAAACTTGTGTACAAGGAACAACTGTAGCTTCAATATTTTTTACGTTGGTACCTGAAAGACAGACGAGATCATTAATAGGAAAAAACCCAAAATGAAAACACAGTAACTTTAAATTATTACTTAAACAGTTCATGAATTTACATTCTCATAGTTGTACACAGCATACAAATAATTAGCCTACACAATACTGTGGTAAGAAATTTATTATTATTGCAACTATCCTTAACAAAAATAAGAGAGCTATATTTAGGAGAGAAATAGTTGCAAGCATAGCAATAAATCTGGCTATTATTCAGCATTCTTTCAGCCTCATACACTTCTTCCTGAATCAGTAAACCAGTCAGAAGCATTAACAAACAAGATAAGTAACAGATGAGGAAGTATGCAGAACTAAAAGTGTTACAAGAAAAGGAAAGTTATTAGACTTCAGAATATATTATCTTTATAGAGCCACATCATAGTCTCCTGCCACACTTGAGAGTCAATAAGCCATTAAATTACTAGTAACATTATAAAATCTAAATGTTTCAGAACCAGAAACTAGAAAGGACTCTGTCCTTGTATGCATCTTTGATTGCCCTCTTTTTCAAAGTGTGGCAAAAAAGACTCCAAAAAAGCAGTCAGCATGGTTTTACACAAAAGCATGTCCTTTCACAGTATCTGATGAAGTGAACATGGGTCCACAAAAGCTCATACTCTACATATATATATCTTATTTACTTATCTATAAAGATGCATATCTCCTCTTCCATTTACAAAAGCAGTACGTCTACACAACTCCAATTTCCAGACAGTTTCTATCTTTTCTCTCCACTATAGGAGACTAAACAAGAATACAAGAATTTAGGAAAGTTATGGGCTGTTTAGGAAAACAAGGAACTACACAGTGCTCTATCAAATTTAGTATTTTACCTAAAAGAACTACAGAGTTTTCATCTCCAGTACTTTGTTAACATACAACGTGGGAACAGGGCAGATTTCAGGCACTGAACCATTCCTAAAACGAGCAGCATAAATAGTAACACCTCTAACAGAATCCAGTTTAATCTGACATTCCAGTCTGACGCTGATGCCTGCAAAGCACAGCCCATTTAGAAAGCCTAACTCAAAAGGTCTTTTCTCCCTTGGATATTTTCCCATGAACCATACAGAATAATGATCAAATGGACATTTATTTCCCAAAACAACCACATTTACTTTAAAAAAAATCAATTTCACCTACATAATCAGGGTTAGAGAAAAAAAAAAGTTCAAGAGGTCTTTTATGCTGTTGTGAAAAGACATCCTACTATTTAGGCAAAAACTCCGTCTGAGATTTTAAAAGCACCTTATTCAGAAGATACCAGGAAGAACAACTGAAAACCCCTGAAAATTACTTTTGTAACTACATTCCTGCTTATTGATATAGCCATTAAAAAAGTGTTCTCTCAAAAAACCCACGCATTCTGTACATGGTTCAAGGACTGACTCTCTCAAAAAAGAATCAAATTCTAATCAATTGACTGCAAATTCACAGGAAATGGGCAATATATTTTTAAAAGAGTCTTTCCACTGATTTTAATGGTAGTTGAGTCAAGCCTTAATTTAGAAGTTGTGAGAAAAAGACCAAAGGACCCAATTTGATCCTGCGCAGGCAGAATTAGATGCTGAATAACTTCAAACATAAACATTTACATTTTAGCTGATTTTTAAAATGAAACCTTCATATTTTCCCAAACAGGAAGCAACTGTGACCACCTGAAACCTGAGATCCTGCTTCAGCCTTTCATAGTTGGTAGGGTTGGAAGGGACCTAAGCAGATCATCAAGTCCGACCCCCTGCCATGGGCAGGAATTGTTTCAGGGTAATTTCCATCATCACAGATCCTCATAGGAGGTGAGAGGCTCCATATCAGCTATGAACTGACTGCCCAAAGGAGTTTTCCATCTATTGACTCCTCTGTGAAATCCTATGAAATATGAACTTTAATTCCTATCCAGGAGAACTTTTACAATCTTTTCTCCAATGCATGATGAAGGGTGTTTGTGCCCAAAAGCTTGCAATTAAAGATTTTTTTTCCAAAAATCTTGTTGGTCTAATAAAAGATATCATCTCTACTACCAAGTCCTGATTGCCTTTTCCTCTAAACCAATATGGCTACAACCTGGATACCCTTCAAACATAAACAGCACCCTGCATTTAAAAAAAATAAGCTGGACTTTACATGGCTGTCATCAAAACTTGACAAGTCAGCTTGTATATGGCCACTGGGAACCTTTGCCAGGCAAGTGGTGTAAGCTTCTGTAGAATCTAAGCTTTTATTTTTTAAAAAGACATTTCTAGTGCTTTGAAGATAGCTTTGTAAGTGTGAACTGAGTCTAAACAGATGCACTGCTCCCTTCCTAAGTTTGTTGACAGGCAGGTGCAGTGCTACTGCTACAGTAAAGTGAAAACCATTGGTTTGTTTTCACTGCAGCTACTCAAAGCACTACAAGCAGCAGTCAAATTGACAAGAATCAGACCAGTTCAACTTTGCTGATATTTGGGAAAGCTAAGAGCAGTAGGCTAGTAATAAGGCAGAGGACATTGAAAGCATGACAGGAGTAGAGGACCATACCCCAATCTCTCATTTCTCTGGCTGTTTCCCCTCCTCCAGCTAATGAGAAATGAAGCAGAGCTCGGAGACACTGGTAGCAGCACCAGGACAGCAATGGGGTGAACAGCACTCAGACTGGGAGCCCAGGGGCCACAGGTTTCCTCTCATTTGGACAACCCTGACCTAGACAGAAGGACATGGGGAGGATGTTTTAGGTGTCCAATAAGTAAATCCATTTACTGGACAACTAAAATGTCAGTTGTAGACTGAAAGAAACCCTTAAGCACAGTCCTGGGATAGAATTTGAGTAGGAAGTCCAAACCACCATGGCATGACTTCACATCTCAGTACTGTCTCTCTTCCCCCAGCCCCCCAATTTTTACATAATCTCTATCCCATACATCTAGGACAAAAATGGTAAAAACGGTTCGAAGAATTGAGGCGATAAGTTAGTAAAGAAATACAAATGAGATTTTTGGGTAATGATAAGGAGAGCAGGCAAAGACAAAAGGAAAGACAATGAAGACAGGAGAAAGAGAAGATACCTTATAATCATCGGGGGGGGGCGAGGATGGGATGGAAAAGATACATTACAATCATAGGGAAAGTGTGAGTCTAGAAAACAAGGCATTACAAATGCAAAATATATAAATAAAAGGCTGATAATGTGTTAAAATATAAATTTGGGTGGGTATTGGTTTGTAAGTATGGATGCACCACATATTTTTCTGCCCAGACTCAAAGGGTGTGTCCCCACAAGCAGGAACATACGTTTCCTTGGGGACAAACAGCAGCAGCACAATCCGTGACTCTGCCACTTGTCCTGGGGGAACACCCGTCGATGCGCACTCTGGTGCACGGCATGTTGCCCAGGTGGGGAAGGGGAGGCTGTGGCCAACACTGAGCTGGCCCTGGCAGCGTTACCTGGGGTCCTGGGGGCCTCCAGGGGCTGAAGCCACAGTGATCCTACAGTGGAGATCCTGGCTGGCAGCCAGAGAATGGCTCTAGCTGACCAGGCTTTGGTTTTGGGAGGTGTGCGCTGCCGCCACATGTGCTGCCCTATTTTTTTCAGGTACAGATTTTTTTGACACTGAGATCCCCTAGTGTCCAACTCCCCCCTCCCCCCCACCACTGCAAATTAGCAGCACAGGGAACACTTGCATGTTGCGTACCACCCATGCACGCTTGTCTGGATGTGTCCTAAGCTCCTGGGTAAATTTTTCATGTTCTAGCTGAACTCCTTAGATACTGCCTCATGCATCCTAAGGAGACTTTAAAAAAAAGGAAACAAACACAGCTTTTGAATCTAGATTAACAACTTAGATGAAGTAGTAAGCAGTCACTCATTTCCTCCAGATCTATAGTTAACTTTTTTAGCTAGAATCTTCCAAAGAACTCATGGAAGAGGATGGGAACTTTAATTATAAAGTGTGCCTCTGCACTCATAAATGTACAGGGAATCTTAAACTGGGAATCTGAATGCTTGGGGGACATTGCTAGAATACTGGAAGACCACTTTTTGCTTCCTGGCTTTTAAACCAGAAGCAACATTTCTCACAAAAGTATGCAGAAAAAATATGATGACCATTTAGGATCTGGGAGAGAGAAAGAGAAAAAGAGAGAGAGAGAGAGAGAGATAACACATACAGTATTTAACATAAAATCTATTACTCTTGTGCCCAGTGGGAAGAGACATTCAAGGATCATCAAGAGATAAAATCCTGTGAATATTTGACAGGTGTCTCTTTACCCTGAGCACAGGGCAATCTGCTGACCTTCCCAAAGGACAGCCTGAAAAGTCACAGGCAAGACAAAACCTATGAAGGCTCTTGTGCAAAGCAGTAGAAGGCCAGATGTAGATGTACTCATGATGTGGGGTACTGTCTTTCCTTAAGCTTGCTAAAGTCTGGCTGGGAAAAGGGTACCTGGAATGGGCCTCAACATAGAGAAATTCTTGGCATCTTCTGTGTGTTTTCTGTTGATCTAAAGGCCAAATACAGAACCCCAAGATGAAACATTGCTGCCTAAAACAAGACAGAGTATTTGGCATTCCCCAAGCTCATGCCACAAGAAGCTGGGGCTAGGATGGAGGGGGCAGTAGAAGCACCTCCCCACCCTTGTGCACACATGCACAAAATACACATTAAGTAATTGAAGGCTGTGCTTGTGTAGGGATATTCTTCCTTTCTCCCAGCTATCTTTGACATAGGACAATTATGGTTGTATCTGTATGCAAAACACTCCTGGGCATTATCCTGTTGCAAAGTAGATTCTTGGTTGTCACACAGGTGACTGGTTTACCTTGTGTCCACACAACCCAGAGCACAACCTAAGTGTCCAATCTTTACAAAAACACAGTTGTTCTTACCAGAGAGGAGCAAAGTCTGCAGCACCACTGAACATATTAGCTAGCCTTATCTACTTTTGTAGACCATCTGGAAAAAATACCATTAAATTGTTGCTGCTATAAAACAATGATTTAGTAACATAAACTAATGTTCCTTACCTATTGTTAAAAGGCATTGTATTAAAGGAATTTTCTGGTGTACATTTATTATTTCATCCAGGTAACGGTATGGATACAAGTCATCAGTGTTACATACCTTTAAAATGAGAAAAGTTACCACATAGGAAGAAGAAAAAAAAGAAAAGAAAAAATATTCTAAATTTACCTAATGTAGTCCACTCTCCAGAACCTGAAAGCAACTTCAAATTGGAGTTCACATTTGGATCATTAAAAAAGTCCTATAAATTTTAAATCAAGAATGAGAGTTAGTGAAAGGATATACCTCTTAGGAACCCAATTAAAAACTGGATTCAGTCTGACTTCTCATTTTACATATCCAGAATTATGCCACCAAATATATGTCTATGAAGTTTTGGGCAAAGCAATTTCTTTTACATACGCATGATTTCTGTGTACCCAAATGCATTTATGCATGCAATCTGAGGTTCTCAGTAGACAAAAGTATGTCCAAAAATATTCATACTAAAGATGGACAGTGTAGTCCTATATATTTTAAATAAGCGACATCTTGTAAAATAGTGTCATTTTCTTCTGCAGCAAGTCATACATAATTTTCATATTCTCTCTAGACCAGTGGTTCTCAATCTTTTTTGTACCAGGACCCCATCTGTAAGCATCCCTGACCAGTCCCAACCCAGTGCTCCTCACTCCCAACCCACTCCCCACCCCCAAACCTTAGCCCCCTATGTGTGGGGTGTGTAGGGTTAAAATAATAGGCTTAGATAATCTGCAAGACATTTAAAAGACATTACTGAGAAAGTCTAAGACCTGCAATATTAATTTTCAATAAACCTTGACATACCAGGAAGTTGAAGAAGACTTAAGGATACTAGCATTGTGCCACCATTCCAAAAAAGGGAAATGTAATGACCCAGATTAGGGCTGTCCAGCTGGCAGCCTATGAGGGGCTGATGCTGCACCTGGGGTCTCTAAGCTCCCTCTCCCTTCCTCAGCTTTTGCTTCCTCCTCCCATCCCAGGAGACAGGGTGTCGCAACCCATGGTGCACGGCTGTGAATGCAGCAAGTGAAATGAGGTGGGGGCCACTCACACAATTCAACAGTGTGTGTGTGTGTGTGTGCGCGCGCGTGTGCATGTGCGCGCGCGCATGCATGCGCACCTGCACACACACACATGCGCACGCAAAGCGGGGGCTGTCCATATGCACAGTACGGTGAGGGGTGGTGATGGCCTAGGACCCCATGGCTCAAACTAGTATGGCCTCTGGAGTATGCAGCGCCCACTGGTGTAGGCTCCTGTCCACTTAGAAGTTGGACAGCCCTTTCCTAGATAATTATTAGTTAGCCCAGTCATTAAGTTAGTAAGACCAAGATCAATACCAAGCAAAAAATGGAAAAGCTGATATGGTATTCAGCTGATATGGTATTCTGAAGTGAACTGTACTAGAGAGTCACTACAGACAGGCTTGTAGATTACAACAAAATCAGGGATATTGTAAATGAGGAGGAGGACAGGGCAGCCATACAGAGCTAACTAATCACCCTGTAAACTGGATCCGTTAAAAAAAATGCATTCAGTAAAAAAAAGTGTGAAGTCAGACTTCTGGATACAAGAAACAAAGGCCACATTTACCAGATGGGGTAACTGTATCTGGAAAGCACTGATTCTGAAAAGGACTTGGGGTCATAATGGATAACCAACTGAGTGAGTTCCCTGTGAGATGCTGTAGCAAAAAAAAGGCTTGTGCAATCCTTGGGTGTATTTGCAGAGACATAGTTAACATGCTAGTCTGAAGTCAAGTATTTGCAGAACAGCAAACAATAACTGAGACGCAAGAATTTTTGTGGGTGATTTTTTTTATTGGACCAACTGTATAGCTGGGATGGTCATAGGTAGGGCTTGGTTTTAATCACGGGCCCAGCTCGCAGCACAGCACCTCCTTTAATCTTGAGGTTCCCCGTTCACGACCCTCCTGCTGCTGACTGGTGGAAAGACCCCATTGGTCTCCCCGCTTGCTCCTGATGGCTGGGAGGCAAAAACCACAGTTTTAAGTATGCCGCAGTTTTTGCCTCCTGTCCAGTCAGCAGCAAGCAGCAAAAACTGCAGCATATTTAAAACTGCTGTTTCTCCTCCTGGCCATTAGGAGCAAGTGGCTGTGCTGACAGAACCCTTCCACTAATCAACAGTGTGGGGAGAGGGGCAGTGCATAGGGGGACCTCCAAGATAAAAGGAGCCGCTGTACCACCAGCTGAATATGCGATTTAAACAAGGCCCTAGTCACAGGCAAACTTTCAGGTATCACTGTATGCTTCCTCAGGTCTCTGAAAATAAAAATCCTTGTCCCTTGCATTTTTCCTGGATCATCATGGCTACAATATCACTCCCACACTATCAAGAAAGTAATTGGGAAGTTACATATCTCTGTATGCAACACAGGTAAAACCCATAATGGAATACGATGCATAATTCCAGTACCCACATTTTAAGAAAAGGGAGTTGACAACGTGGAGGGGGTGCAGGAGAGAGCCACAAGAGTTATTTGAAAGCTGGAGAAAAATGCATTACAATGAGGACTTAAAGAGCTCAGTCTGGTTAGTTTATCAAAAAGCAGCATGACAGTTAACTTGATTAGATTGTTCCAAGTATATATTTAAAAATATTGGAAACTAAAAGACCCTTTCATCTAAAATAGCAAGGCAAAGCAAGACCCAGCTAGTTGATGCCAGGCACTAGAAATAATGCATTAACCCCCCCTCCCCCTCACCCCCCCAAAAAACCAAAAAAATCTTGAGGGGAAAAAAATCTTAATCATAGGAACAAACTACCAAAGAAAATGGTAGATTCGTAAATTTCAAATAAAAAATGGGCTCACTTGCTGAAAATATACTTTAGCTAAAACTTTAGCACAGTCACGCATACAGCTTACTGGGCTCAATACTGGATGAAATTTAAAGGCTTCTGATATGCAACAGATCAGGCTAAATGCTCTAAATAGTTCTATCGAGTCTTAAACTCATCAAATGTATGAACAAGTTTGATTTTATTAATGTTTTTGTTTAGATTTTAAAACCTAAAAAATATTTTATGGAGGTAAAAGATGCATCTTGTAAGTCTTCAAACATTCAAGATACAGAATAATCTTAGCAGGAGATCAAATGTACATTTCTAAGTGTACGTGAATCCCTTTAAAACCTCAAAAAGCTGTGGCTTCATCTCCAGGAAAAGCAAGCTGGAACTACAAATGGTCGATTCAACAAATAGGAGAAAACCAACCTGGTTTTAAATCTTGGAGGTGAATACTCCTTGTGAAAATAAAACCATTTCACTGAGGTGAACAGGACTTTCATATCCATCTACCTATTTAAAGAGCTCTGTTTACAGGCTTAAGATAGTTTCTCTGTTGAGCAGCTACAATTCCAGATGAAGTCAACACAAACCAGAGATCCCTGGTACCTCTGAAAATCAGGTCCTACATTTTCCAGAGAGTGAATGCAGGAGCACATAGTGTGGGGTGGTGATGGATCCAAGGAGGTTCAGTGGTGTAGTTGCACCCCCACTTTGATTCCTTCTTTACCCAAACTTTAAAACCAACTGCCTGGGAGGGACAGTGGCATTTCTGTTCAAACAGTGCTGAGGGAATTCATAGAGTCATAGAAAATTAGGGTTGGCAGGGACCTCAGGAGGTCATCTAATTCAGTGGCTCTTAACCTTTTTTGTATCAGGACCCTTTTGTAAACACCAATGGCCAGTCCCAAACCAGTGCCCCTCACTCCCAACCCGCTGTCCCCCACCCGCCCGGCCCTCTTCCCCCAATGTGTGAGGCAGAGGGGGGTCCAACCAGCCCCAAACAGCCTCTTGTAGGCTGGAACTTCGCCAGCCTGCAAGGGAAAAGCCACGGTTTCCTATGTTTTTCTCCTTTAAAGGACACCCCATTTTTAAAGTGTGTTGATCCATTTTTTAAATTTGTTTGTGATCCTTTCATATATTGTTGCAGCCCACTTTTAGGTCGCAACCCACGGGTTGAGAAACACTGATCTAGTCCAACCCCCTGCTCAAAGCAGAACCACGCCCAACTATATCATCCCAGCTCATCTCATTCATCACTTCTTATAATCTACCTGATCCCTGCTAATCTCTCTTCACCCCACAGGTATTAACAACCCTCTCTCCTTTTTAATGGTCTTGATGTCCAATCAATGAAGCTACCCTTTCTGCACATTAATTACATGTGCAGGTGAATTTCTACAGAAGTGCAGTGCTTCTCAACTTTTAACTGTGATGGTCCCCAAAATCATTTGAGAGGCAAGGATTTCTTAAGGTGTTATCTTTTACAGGCCCAACTGTGTAGTTGGGACACAGTTAGACAAACCCTCTCAGCCCCTTCCCTATGCTGTACTTAATTTTCTGTGCCTGGATTCCTGTAATCAGAGACCTGAGGAAGAGCCTCTTACTTTCAAAAGTTTGTTTAACTTTATCCCAACCACATAGTTGGTTCAATAAAAGATATCATCCTAATTGGACCAACTATGTGGTTGGGATAAAGTTAGACAAGCTTTCAAATGCAAGACATTTCCTCAGGTCTCTGATTATAGGAAGCCAGGCACAGCAAGTTAAGCACAGCATGGGTCAGAGGTTGGGAACCGCCGACCTAGGGGATCTGGTGTTGCCAAGCATGTGGGGTCTTCTTGTTACAGGTCCAAACCACTGCATCTTTCTTCTTATGATTTCAAGTAAGGGTTCACAGGGGGGAGGAGGGGGCTGGTCTAACTTTATGCCAACTATGTAGTTGGTCAGTAAACATTGGTAATGAGAAACTAGAAAAAGTAAAACACTTTAAATACTTTGGAGCAACCATCACAGAACATGCAACATCAGAAAAAGAAGTAAAAACAAAAACTGCTGTTACTATTGGACAACTACCAAACCTGAAGAAAATCTGGACTAGCAGCAACGTCACAATGAAAACAAAACTCCACCTACTACCTGCTGCTGTCTTTTAAGTAACTCTCTGTGACTGACTGTACAAGGATTGCAAAAGACTGGGAAGAGAGGAGGAAAGTTATTGCTACATCCCCAGCCTCTGGATTGACTGGCCAACAGCTGATCCAATGAAAGACAGCAGCACCCTAAGAAACGCCTGCCTCCCGCATTATTTCAGGACCATCATGGCTACATTGCTCTTAGCCTCTGGGGCCCACACTGCAGGAAGGGCGTCTGGCATCCCAAAGCTTGTCCCACTTCATCCCAACTGCACAGCTGGTCCAATATAAGAGATCCCCTAGGCCAGCAGTTCCCAAACTGACCGACTGTGCACCACCAAATTAAAACAACACAAGTACCACCATCCAGGGCCACTCCAAGGGTAACTGGTGCCTCCACCACTTTCAGTATAGAGGAAAATAAGTTTAGAGTGAACTTTTAGGGCTCAGTGAGGAGAGTGGCCCCTGTGGGGTGGGTGCGCTGGGCAGGAGTGAGGGGCACCGCCAGCCTGGGAGCAGGGGCTGCCAGTTGGGACTGAGGAGCACTTGCGGGGCTGCCATTTAATGTTCCTGTTATTTTGTTCCACTTATTATTTTGACCGCCTAGTTCGCCAAATGGTTGGCCCGGCCCCTTTTGGTCGTGTCGATGTGCACCCCAGGCAGCTTGTCGCCCTACTCTGGTGGCTCCTAGGAAACCCCAGCCCCCTCGGGGAACGCAATCCCACTCGTGTTTTTGCCTCGAGGAGAACCACAGAGCCGAAAGACCCCGGCCCCCCCCCCCCCTCCCTCCCTGGTACCACGACGAAGTGC